ATAATTGTGTTATCCTCAAGGGGAGGCCAACAAAATTTTAACATCTAATTTTTCATTTCCACCAGCCCCCACCCCCCTCTCCCACCTGAAATTGATGACCGGTCCCTTAGACGGTTGCAATGAGATATCGATTTTATGTTCGAGTGGGAAAAACAATAACGCGGATGAGCGGATGAGTGAGATATTGTTTTTGTCACGAGAACATAAATCCATATCTAGTCGCAACCGTTTAATATTCTGTTAATGATATGGAGTTTTTCAGAAGTAGTGACAAAAATACACGCAAAGACGACATGTAAATATTAAAGCGCGCGCGCAAAACCAGTACGTATATTTAAATTATAGTGCAAACGTAAAACTAGAATAAATTTTACTTATCTCAAGATGTCTTTTAAATGTTTCAGTTTTATTTCCAACGTTGATTTTGTTTTATATACGAACCAAAGATCATTTGTATTTTTAAAACAATTTTCGAACTTCGTAGTTCGTATATGTTACTCGCAAGCGTGAAAAACAGAAAATAGGCGTATCTGGTTCCGGATGTAGTGGCATATGAGTGTTTTAGATTCCAGTAAAACACCATTGTCCATATAATTAACAGTTATTCTACGAACTCGAGTCGAATATGAGCTGATAGCCGATGAGGCGCGTAGCGCCGAATCGGCTATCGCTCATATTCGACGAGAGTGAGTGGAATAACTGTTTTATTATATACACAAGGTCTGAATTCACAGACTTTGCTTTTCGAATATTTTAAATATTTTTCTATTTTGTTTATGTTTTTATCTTCGCTCTTTCGGCCGATTATTTTTTCAAAAATATATATTTTTAACCATTTTAAATATTAAAAATTTATTTGCTAACCTGAAAACAATTTGTGGGAGTTTTTCATTGTGTTTTTAATCCTGCGAAGGCTATAGAAAGCGACAACTTGCTGTTTTCTCGTTTGCAAAACATCGTAAATTCAGTTTGGCAGCCATTTTGTTTTTCTCTACTAGCAGGATATGAGCTAATATCCTGCTAGTAGAGAACCAATCAGATTGCAGAATACCTCATATCCAGACCTTGTGTATATAATAATAAAGAATAGTGAGTTTATCGGCGTATAATATCGTGCAGTATCGTCATTTAAAATCCCTTCTGCGCATTAGTTTTGCTCATAACAAAGGTGGGTAAAGGGGGGACTCGCAGCTACATTGCCCAAATTTTGCATCTTTCGAAAATTTTTTAATTCAAACGTAGAGTTTATATTCTTTTACAAGCATAGCTAACCCCAGAAGTGTTAGATATTCAATTTATAGTACATCATATTTTTATACAAGTATAGCAGTTCAAAATGTAAGCAAAGCCAAGCTTTTGTTTTATACATTACGGAGTTTACAGCATCTTTAAGATTAATTTCAGGCAAAATTATCAAGAATCAGTACACAGTGTTATTGAATATACTAGTTAGACCTCAGTTAAAGCAAATAATTTTCACTGGAAGTTGATTAAATATTTTTACTTTCGGTTGTCATAGAATAATTAGAATAATTAGTCGGTTGTCATAGAATAATTAGACGGTTGTCATAGAATATTTAGACGAGGCCACTTGCGTTTGGCGTTCCCAAAAACCGTAGTTTCAATAGCCCAAAAATATTTTTCTAACAAATTGAAGAAGAAACGTTGCTCTTTCGCGTGGATATGGCTTTGAACTTCAAAGTGGAGGTCTAATGAACGATTTTCCACTCTAAATTTAGCCATTTTTCGGTCTCGAAAAATTCGGTAAATTAAGTAAAAAATCAAAAATCGCTAAAATATTTACTTTAAACCCAAATTTTATAAACGAACAAGAGAATTGCATAGAAATACCTCCTCTTTGAAATGGTTAATAAATGTTTGTAATAAATATTTATTTCAATTTTAAAGCGATCTGTAAATGACCTGTCGTATGTGTCCTGTAAAACCAGCCTGAGAGACGTGAAAATAAAAAATAGCCGTTTGCCTAAAATAAAATTCTGATCGAACTTAATGTTATATTTCTAGCAATACTTTACCTAGACCTATATTCTGACAAAGTTAGAAGATGTTGAATTTTTTCATTTTGTATACATCCACTCGATATATATATATTTACAGACGGCGGCTCTTAATGCGCATGTTACACCTAGTTATTTCGTCCCACAACTGCAACGACCTCTCATTGAATTGATATAGCTTGTATTTCCAAAATACAAAAGGATTTCCAAAATACAATTTCCAAAATACGAAAACCTCCAAAATACAAAAGAATAGGTTTGATGAGCATATAAACAAGTTAAAAGCCCCGGTATCGGTTTTTATTAAACTGTAAAGTTTCAGTTTAATAAAAACCTCTCCCTTGGCTTTTAACCTACATATAAATCATTGAATAAAAGGCGGAAAGGAAGATAAAATAAATCACAGCTATAATATATATGAAACTACACAGTCTTTATTCAGTTGCTCGATAATTGTAACTATAAAATTCAATATCAATACAAAATGAATTCTCGAACTCATAAATAAATGACGTTCGCCTTAAATAGGTTATGAAACGATTATAATGTAATCCAGGCATAAATCTCATAAATAATTCATACAAGTTCCTTTCACTATAGTGTTAGTTCAGCATCTTTTTCTGTCCAGCGTGCATGTACTGTTTGAAGACAGCCTTACAGCCAACAGTAATTGTATCCATTTCCCCCCCTTTCACCGTATGGGTTATTGGTACGCATGTAACATGCTTTGCTAAAGGTTCAATCTTTGCATATTTGGTATTGAGGTTACATTTCGCCGTTTTGGCCCATTCATCTATTATCAGAAAATTCATTTTGAGCTTTTTGTATGCGCCTTCTCTGGCAGATCCTTGTATTCTCATTTCCTTCGATTCTTTTGAACCTTGGCGACAGATATCTTCGGCATCTGCATTACGGCTTATCAGTTGAAGATCGCTGTAAAAGATAGGAGCCATGCTCAAGTTAATATACAGAATAAGTGATGATTTATAGTTTTAACCCGCTTTTTGGTTTTCTTACACGCACGTTTCACAGCCAACACTTTAAACCATTTGTTTTACAGAGCTATTGTGAAAGTTGAAAAAACATACTGACCCACACTAATCTGAAAGAATTTAAAAGCGAAAGTGAATATAAAAAGCGAAAGTGAATAATGAACTGCACTGCCGAAATGTCTGCTTAAAAAATACTTACCATTTCCCTGGAAATTGAATATTTTTACTTTGAAATTCTGAGAAATCGGAAAATGGTCAAGATAGTGACTTCGATTGATTCACACTCTGATTGATTCACATTGATTCACACTGATTGATTCACACTGTATTTTAGTTTTCAATTAACAAGTTTATTTTAAAACATTTTCTGCGTGGATATACAGTTAATATATCAACACGGGTGGAAATTGGGAAAACGAGAAATTCACACGATTTCAAGTTTTCCCAATTACTTTCCACGAGTTATGATGAATGTTGATATAACTACATATCAACACGCAAAAATGCTTTATCTTGTTTTTGTGATATAGAAACCATTTCTGGAATACGTTTTGAATTGAGTTATGCCAACACGGCTTTTAGCCAAATGCTATATTAAATTATAATACTTGAATGAGTCATGCTTTGGAAATGACAATAAATTTTTATTACCTAATCAACACTTCGGTTGTTTAGTTTATCATTCACTCACGGACAATAGGACAGGTGTAGTGTTGTTAAATAGAAAGTTAGAAATGGTATTATACTTACTCATGCATTATAATTATGTTTAAAAGATCAGAATATTCATAACTTCTTATTTTGTTTCATAAATAGTTCTTTAATA